AACCCGGTTCGCCTCATTTCAAGGCGAACGCTCTATCCCCTCAGCCATCCCGGCTCAAATAACTTAGTTTGATACTTTCCACCAAGATGAATCAAAATTCTTTCCAACTCACATGTAATTAAAATCTGTTTTGGTGATTTTTTTTCACAAAACTTAAAATATTGTTTTTTCCTACTTTAAAACTTTCATTCCAAAATTCAATATAAATTCGTATCACTACTATTATTGACAAAGTAGCGTGAATATGTAAAATTACAAAAAAAAATGGAAGAACACTATAAACAAGATTTGTAAAATACTATTTTGAAAGTCATAAATTTCCAAAGCCTAGCGACTATATGAACAGAATCTTCCATTCTGTAAGATCAACCTGATTCCTTGCTGTGATAATTTTTTTGGTGGTGAAAAAAAAGCCTTTGTATGTAACCGAGAGTAAACGTACAACTACAAAGGGTAAAATTATCACCATGTTATAATATACTAAAACTTTGAGTTTCGTTTTTTTTTCTCATCTTGATAAACTTTTAATAACAAAGTATGATTTGACAGTACGCCACCAATAAAGACGTTGTATTATATTAGGAAAAATAGCTTTTAGAACTTCGATGGATATTTTTCCAAACTTATAACAGTTACATGTACTCTAATTTAAGTTAGGTAATTTAATACTGTTTAATTTTCGAGTTTTTAAAATTTATTACATCGAAAAATCATTTTAACGTAAAACATACAAAATGAAATATACTTTTTAAAAACAAACATAGGTATAAAATTATTTTTTCGAATACAGGATTGTATTAGAAAACTTGTTAGAAGAAATCTCTTGAAATTTAGGAATTATGCCAACTATATATTTCCAAACTCTTTTAATTATGCGACTGCCTCGTACTCAACATGATTTGTAAGAAACCATTGATTAAAGTAGTTGCTCATGTTAGTTTATTTTTATTAAACCGGTTTTATTAACCGGCGTTAAGCCGCCGATCCCATTCAGAGTTTACGGTTATCCACATTTAAGTCAGTGGGATTGTGATTTTTACTCGACCCAGAAGACAAGTGAACTCCTGCATCAAGCATTGAAACAAACTAGCCTTCGTGGAGGACTTTTTGATGGAACTAACAGCATATGCGTTACATAGAGAGAAAAACCTCCCAGGGTTAGATCGACGGCTAAGGGATTCAAACCAATGATCTGACTAAAGATATTTTTCCGTCAGAATTCGAGAGTCACCTGCGAAATTTAAAGAAAGTTAAAAATATACATATATCCCCCTCATTCATATTTCTCTGACCAATGAGGTCACAAAAGAAAAGGCCTCTTAATTTGTAGACTTAGTTTCAACTGGTCTCAAAGAAAAAAAAAATAATAAATAAAATTTTTTTTAAAAAGGGACCATTAGTCATAATGAACATAACCAGCTTTTGAAAATAGTATAGTACAAAATTAGGATTAGAAAACTAAATTTGGATCAACATTTTGGACGAATTTATGAAAAAAAATTTACTCTTTATAATTGCATTAATGTTATCTTTTAGCGCTCTACAGAGACATAAATCATGAGTTTTTAACTTTAATGACTGAGGGAGCGGTTTTCTCCCTGATCAGTTTTTATTTGGCCCACCCTGTGTATTTATCAGAGTTCCCACTCAATTTCAGAAAAATTAATTTTTTTATCTTTTTCAGGTAGATCAAGTAAATTTCAATGGAAATCCATACCATATTTTATCAATACCATACAATTTTTCATCTGAAAATTTTGACTTTTTTTTTATTTGTAATGTCAAACATTAGATTTTATGAGCAAAAACACAACAGAATAAGAATGGAAACATGGAAAGTTTTCACTATTAAAAAGAATTTTATAAAATTAATTCTAATAGATATTGGAATTATTTACCTCGAATCTCAATAACTGATTACTGTTACTGACAATTCCAAGACTGGTTATTCTCCAGGTATTATACATGAATTTTCCAGGTTATTTCTAAAAAAATTACAGCTGTCCTTAACTATTCCTTGTTTTTTAGTGTCGAAATAAAATTCCCTATCGATTCCAGGATTTTCCTGTAATTCCTGACTTATGGGAGCACTGTTTATAAGTATTAAAGTAAAAAAGCAACAAGTAAAAAAGTTAAACACATTTATTAATAGAACTAATATAAATATAAAACGAACTATACAAATAATTATTTATGCTGTCAATTTTGTATACTTCACAAAAACCAGTTCAAAAATCTTATTTTTAAACACCCACAAAGTAATAAATTATAACCTGCACATCAGGTACAGTAGTTGCAAAATGCTTTACTACAAATGCTGATATAAATAACTTTCTTTAGTAGATCATTTTCAGGATTATATAGTACAGTTGTACAAATACAATACATCATTTTTCAGTTATGTCTGGTGTAAATAAAATTATAAAATGGAGGGTCATCGTTGTATCACAGTTTCATGACAGGAAAAAAATAATCTCAAGTTCATCCAAAAACTATGCATTGTTAAATATTTCTTATTTTAAACAAACAATTTTTAATAGACAACTTTACATAAATTAGAAATAATATGCATCTATTAGAACAGTTAACAAGATAGAACAGCTATATTATTTACAGAATTTTGTTCAGTTAATACACAACCTATAGCTTTCAATTATGACAATTAGTTAAATTGATCAATACTTAAAAAATAAATTTCTTTACATAAGAAATTTTGAAATGAGCGTCATACAAAATGCGAGAGGGAGTAAAAAAAAAATTGGGATTAAAAAAATTTATATGCATTATAACTATATGTAGACAATATTTCNTTTTCTTTTTTTTTTAAAAAGTATTTTCAGTAAATATTTTATATAACACGATTGATAAGCTACTGGTAATTACCAATACTTTTAATATGTTGCCATTTTTAAATTTAAAAAAAAACATTTAGAAAAGAAACTGAAATATATAGAAAAAACTTTTTTTTTTTAATAACCGTCGTTGAACAGTCGATCCAATTTTATGGGTTTACGACTACTAATGTTCAACTCCGCAGACTTGTAATTTTGAACCCAATCCAGAAGACAAGGAAACTCCTGGATCGAGTATTGGGAGAAATTTGTTTTCGTGGAAGACTTTTTGATGGAACTAACCCGCATTTGCGTTACATGAAGAGAATACCACGAGAACCTCTCACGGTTAGCCTGACGGCAAGGGGACTCTAACCCATGATCCGTCTACCACTGAGGATATTTCAGGTCAGACTGTGGCCGGTTCAAGCCGGATGCGGAATTCGCCTCATTTCAAGGCGAACGCTCTATCCCCTGAGCCATCGCGGCTCAAATTACTTATGTTTGATATTTTTCACCAAGATGAATCAAATAACTTAGTTTGATACTTTCCACCAAGATGAATCAAAATTCTTTCCATCTCACATATAATTAAAATCTGTTTTGGAGATTTATTTTTTTAATGATCGCTTAGTGATTTTTTTTCACAAAACTTAAAATAAATTTTTTTTTCTCTACTTTAAAACTTTCATTCCAAAATACAATATAAATTCGCAGCACTACTGTTCTTGCCTATGTAGCGTGAATATGTAAAATACAGAAAAGGTGGAAGAACGCTAAAAACAAGATTTGTCAAATACTATTTTGAAAGTCATTCATTCCCAAAGCCTAGCGACTATACGAACAGAATCTTCTGTAAGATAGCCTGATTCCTTGCTGTGATAGCTTTGGTGGTAAAAAAAAGCTTTGGTAACCGAGAGTAAACAACTACAAAGGGTAAAATTATCACCATGTTAGAATACAGATTAAAAGTTTTTTTTTTCTCATCTTGATAAACTTTTAATAATAGAGTAAGATTTGACAGAACGCCACCCATAAAAGCGTTTTATTATATTAGGAAAAATAACTTTAAGAACTGCGATGGATATTTTTCCAAACTTATAACAGTTATATGTACTCTAATTTAAGTTAGGTAATTTAATACTGTTTAATTTTCGAGTTTTTAAAATTTATTCTGTCGAAAAATCATTTTAACTTAAAACATGCAAAATGAAATATACTTTTCAAAAACAAACATAGGTCTAAAATTAAATTATTTTTTCGAATGCAGAATTGTATTAGAAAACTTGCTAGAAGAAATCTTTCGAAATTTAGGAATTACGTCAACTATATATTTTCTCGACCCAAAAGACAAGAGAACTCTTGCATCAAGCATTGGAACAAACTAGCCTTCGTGGACGACTTTTTGATGGCACTAACCGCATTTGCGTTACATAAAGAGAAAAACCTTCCAGGGTTAGACCGACGGCTACGGGATTCAAACCAATGATCTGACTAAAGATATTTTTTCGTCAGAATTCGAGAGCCACCTGCGAAATTTAAAAATATACATATATCCCCCTCATTCACATTTCTCTGACCAATGAGGTCACAAAAGAAAAGGCCTCTTAAATTGTAGACTTAATTTCAACTGGACTCGAAGAAAAAAAATAAATTTAAAAAAAGTGCATTAGTCCTATTGAACATAACCAGCTTTAGAAAATAGTATAGTACAAAATTAGGATTAGAAAACTAAATTTGGATCTACATTTTGGAAATCCATACCATATTTTATCAATATCTTGCAATTTTTCATCAGAAAATGTCGACTTTTTTTTATTTGTAATGTCAAACATTAGATTTTATTAGCAAAAACATATTAGAATAACAATGGAAACATGGAAAGGTTTCACTAAAAAATAGAATTTTATAAAATTAATTCTAATAGATATTGGAATTATTTAACTGGAATCTCAGTAACTGACTATTGTTACTGACAATTCTAAGACTGGTTATTCTCCTGGTATTATACATGAATTTTCCAGGTTTTTTGTAAAAAAAATTGCAGCTGTCTTTGACTATTCCTTGTTTTTTAGTGTTAAAATTCCCTAACGATTCCAGGATTTTTCTGTAATTCCTGACTCGTGGAAGCCCTGTTTATGTGTATTAAAGTAAAAAAAGCAACAAGTAAAAAAGTTAAACACATTTATTAATAGAACTAATATAAATATAAAACGAACTATACAAATAATTATTTATGCTGTCAATTTTGTATACTTCACAAAAACCAGTTCAAAAATCTTATTTTTAAACACCCACAAAGTAATAAGTTATAACCTGCACATCAGGTACAGTAGTTGCAAAATGCTTTACTACAAATGCTGATATAAATAACTTTCTTTAGTAGATCATATTTAGGATTATACAGTACAGTTGTACAAATACAATACATCATTTTTCAGTTATGCCTGGTGTAAATAAAATTATAAAATGGAGGGTCATCGTTGTATCACAGTTTCATGACAGGAAAAAAATAATCTCAAGTTCATCCAAAAACTATGCACTGTTAAATATTTCTTATTTTAAACAAACAATTTTTAATCGACAACTTTACATAAATTAGAAATAATATGCATCTATTAGAACAGTTAACAAGATAGAACAGCTATATTATTTACAGAATTTTGTTCAGTTAATACACAACCTATAGCTTTCAATTATGACAATTAGTTAAATTGATCAATACTTAAAAAATAAATTTCTTTACGTAAGAAATTTTGAAATGAGCGTCATACAAAATGCGAGAGGGAGTAAAAAAAAAATTGGGATTAAAAAAATTTATATGCATTATAACTATATGTAGACAATATTTCTCATAATTTACAGAATTTCAATCATTTAACAAATTAATTATACCTTCAGTTTCTTGCGGAGCACCTATTTATTAAAATTAACAATTTCAGAACATTCCTAATGCATTTTGTAATAGTACAAGTGATTTCAAAATATTGAAACAAATAAAACTAAGTAGATGAAATTTATGATTAATATAAGATTAGAATTCAAATCATAATCTTAGAATGCATTTAATCGATGAATCGTAATCTTGATTCATGACACAGATGTTTTATCGTGGTTAAAAACAATTTGGTGTTATTTAAAAGATCTGACATTTTTATATACAAAATAAATTTATTTAAAATGAAGCGAAATTAAAATATGTATCATACATGTATCTACATAAAATTGCTCTAACTATATAACATTTCAGTAATTTACTCAAACAAGACAGTAATTTGCTCATAAAAAATTATTTTTTAAAGCTCTTCAAAGCAGATATTCTACAGTTATGTAACAAAAATGTGTAATTTTTTAAGCATAACTTTTACATGAGTTTTTTTTTTTATGGACAAAATAAAAAAGCAAAGAGTGTACAGGATTCTTACACTCCTAATAAAATTTAAAAAGTAGCAGCAAAATTAGGAAAATCAAAATGTATTTGTATGAATTTGTATTCACCACTATGCTTAATATTTCCAAATAACTAATTTTAGTCGTAGAACCTCGAATATAGCATTTTGAACTTTAAAGTGAAACCTGATAAAATGAAATCTGTAACTCTTTTATTCGAATATTAACACCACTTTTGAAATTTTCTAAGAGCTGTATGAGCCTATAGGTAAAAAGTTTTAGCAGGGAAATTTACAAATGATTGATAGCATGATTGTGAATTCTTTATCTTATTGTATATTGTTTTCATTGTATATTGGGTTATACAACAACTTTTTTCAAAAGCTGAATCAGGCCAGATACCATATAAGGAGATATCGTAACAGTCTTAGTAGCACCTATAATTTTTCAAGGAGGCATTTTGCAATATGCTTTTAACTTCAGAATCATTTATTAGTAACTCAGTAATAATACTTCAGACATTAGTTCTGGAAGTTATTGAGGACCTTAGAAACTTATTAACACTAAAAATTATGATATTAAAGGTAAAATTTTAAATGAGTATCTTAAGGGCCAAAACAATTCAAAACAAACTTTTTTACATCTTTCTCCTCTGCTGCAGCGATGCAAAACCTAGTTTTTGAATTGAATCAGTAATGTATGCATTGCACTTTTATAATTTTCATTGAGTATTAAACATTATGATTTTGTTAACTTCAAATAAACATTGATGTTATTCTTATTTTTAATTATGTATGACATCATATAAATGCAGTTATAATTGTTTACACTAGCAGTTCCTAATTTTTTTTTGCCTATGGAACTTTAAATGGCAAACCATCTTTTGATATAACCTTAAACTTATAAACTAAGTATATAAGGAGAATTGTGAACATATTAACAAGTAAAATACTACTTTATTTTGAAAATATTGAAATAGAAAAATAAAAGTTTTTCATCACTTTATCATTAATAATCTTAAATTATATCAATTTTTTATGTTCGACAATTAAACTTGCAATCCTGGAACTGAATCTAGTCTAGTTATGAATTTGTTTTAGGTTTATTTACATAATCTGAAAATGAATAAAATAGGCAAAATTATGATTTATGCTAAAATGAAAATTAAAAATTGCAATAAACATTAATAATGGTTAATTGTGAAATATATGTGTTTATTAACAAATGTAGTTATTTTTATTTTGAGTTGAAATATTGTTGATGGGAAATATTATTGAGATTGGAAAATAGTGATGAGAAATATTACTGAGATTTTTTTAAATATTTTTTTTTTTAAATAATTTATTCAATTTATTGTCACTAGGAAAAAATAATATTAAAAAAAATTGTCATTTCTTCTCCCTTTGCACTTTAAATAATTTAATAGAGGCACCCAAAATACGAAGTGAAAAAGGATTATTGATAGGATATAAATGTAATTAACATTTCAAAAATGCAACAAAAAAAAATTGTTTAAAAAAAATCCCAAGCCCTTAATTTTTTTGGAACTCGAGGGTTCCACAGAACACTATCTGTGAACGAGGAGTTTACAGAATTAGATTTCTAAATTAGCACGCTCTTTCCTTACATGGAATATTTTCTCGGATTTGAGTGTGTCAATTAAAGGAGGCTTTGTTGTTTGAAATGACATTTTTTAAACTTATTAAACTGTTTCTTTGTAAAATAGAAAAGAAACAAAAGTATGTGTAGTAAACAAGAATTTATATATAAAATTGCTGTTAACTGTTCAATGTAAAAAATATATAAAGTATAGACACATAAAATGTTTCTAATAAATGATGTATTATGTTAAGGTTTGACAAACAAACTTCAAAACACAATTTTAAAAGATTCAACATGTTAAAAAAAGTATTATAATAGATACACAAAATTAACAATTAATTTGAGATTGATAGTGGAAAAATTGGCACAAAGTTAAAAATAAACAGTTAAATGAATTTTTTTAAAATATCACAACATTGCTAAATAGCAAACCAAAAAAATACATTTGGTAGCTGCAAAATCAACAACAATTAAAACTGATGGTAGCAACTTTTTAACATATAAATGACAAACTCATCAATACTAAATTTGAATTTTAAAATATGTAAATTCTCATAAATTTTTACATTTAAAATACATTTTTGTAATTATATATTCCTGCATGATATGGTAGAATTAAAACAGCTTATGTTATAGACAATTTAAAATGTATACAAGAATCCATCAAAAAGCTTTGTTTTGTATCTCAGACCATTGCCAAAAGGAGAAAAATAAAGAATAAGAAAAGAAATACTATAGAGCAGTGAATTGAAAATTTTCAGCGACAAAGGAAATTTACTCTGGCTTGTTTAAAAAATATTCGTTCGAGAAATAAAACATTCTTAACAATAAAAACCAATATAAAAGTATCAATTTTTGACTAGGATATTAATTATAATTAATAATGATTGATGTGATTAGTGACTAATTTTTAACATAAAACTTTGCTCTTTTTCTTGAAAAAAAAAGAAACTAAGATAAAAATTAAAGAAATTAACAACAAGCAAAATTCAGTATTATATGTATTCAAATATTATGATTTTCACTAATTACATGATTAATAAATATTTTATAACAAATAATCTTTTACTGATAATATTACTTGAAAAACAACATACAATAAAGTTACTTATATAATTGAACACTAAATTTACAGAAAAAAAAAAAAAATGTACAATTTTAGGTTGGTAAATGAAAACATTCTAAAAATTATCTATTAAGATTCAAACTGATTCCAGTGATTCATTTTATATAGTCCATTAAATTTCACATACACATTAAACAATTGCAAACACAGATTTCACAATGCAAGAGATTCACTTTTTCTAAAGCAGGCATTAACAACCTATAACTAGCAGACCAAACATGTTATTCAAATTAAAATTATTTTTACTTTTTAACCCTTTATTTTTCATTGTTTGAAGATTTACTTAATAAAAATAACATTAAACAACCTATTTTAAATGCAACAAACTGAAAGACTACATTTTTTAAATTAAAACTCTTTGTTCTTTTTATGACACTCAAAAGTTTGAGATTTTTTATTAAAATTTGTTATTTAGTTAAAAATGAAGATGCAGTTGAAAAGATTAATACATTTTCACAATTGCCTTAAATGATAGTCATAGAAATTTAAACTTAAAAAAAAAGGACTAGTAATTAAAATTAATTTTAAAAAAGAAAATAAACAAAATTAAAAGACAATGGGAAAATGGCAAAATAATAAACACACACTTCAATTAATGATGTATTTAATAGCAGCCTTTCTTAATTGGATAGTCTGGAAAGTTCATGCTGAATTCTGTTAGGTGGCCTATGCACCTATCTTAACAAATTAAAAGGATTTTATAAAACATAAGATAGAATTTGTAGGCCAAAATGCAGACAGAATTTGAAAAGTATGGCCTTGAATTAGCCTGATTAAAAACAGCAAGTGAACAAAAAACTCCCGAAATAGCAAGTCAGAAGAATTTTTGCCATTTTATGTATGTTTAAAAGATGGGACAAAAGTTGTTAGAGATCGTAGGAGATGTTTAACATCTATTATAATCACAACATTTCACAAGATATTCTAATCATTATAAAATCCCCTTAATGGTAGAAACTTCAACACTTTGAGTACGAAAAAACTAAGGTTAATGCCCAAAAAACCCCAAAGGTTTCAGGATAAGTATAAAATTTTCAAGTTGCGTGAAAGATGTAAAAGAGTGATACTATATTTGTACACCATAATGTATTGCATTCGTGTACTAATTTGTTACTGTAAATGTACACAATAACTGAAATGTGTTGCCTTTCAAATTTCATCCAAAATAGGTGCAAACTTTCAGGACAATCCAATATATTTATATGCATGGTGTTCTGCAATTATTACCCTTAATATAAATTTTCAGAAACCTTGTCAAAAATAAAATTAAAAAATGTATACACATTAAGGGTTGTCAATTATCATTTAATATGAACCAAAATCTGTGAAATTACAAATGTTGAAGTTGAGATTAAAATTATTAAAACTAGTTTGTTTGCCTAATGAAACTTGGAAGTGTTTCAAATAACGCCTTTCCCACAGTTTCATACAGAAATCAAATATGATTCGATATTTTTATTCCAACATTTCGCAGTCGTCGTTTGTTATATTTTGATAGCGTTTTGTCTTTTATATTTAAATGGCATTTTGCACTTTATTAATCTGCAATCCCTAACAAGTATTTTGTTTTTACAGAATTTCTTTCAAGGATTCTAAAGATATACATTAAGATGTGAATACCAGATGAAAATAAAAAGAAAATTTCAATACCTATTGTAATTATTTTATTACCTACAGTTGGCCTGCAAGTTGAAATAGGTCGCCACATCTTGTTCTAAAGCAACTAGACTTATGAACTCAAAACAGATTGAATAATACTACATAATTAACTAGAATTACTAAGAAATATCACTGCTGCAGCACTAGAAATAATCCTAAATCAACATAATTATTATCACACATGTGCTGATGGTATCACTTGGCAGCTTTATCTCACATAAATGGTATTTTGCACTCATGAGGCAAAGCTCCTCTTCTTGGATAAAATATGTGATTCATTGAATAATTCAATAGATTAGTGACATGAGACATGTATATATCAGAGTATCTAAAAAGACGTCTAGAAAAATAGGTTGGATTGTGGTGAGTCCTGAAAATACTGCCAAACTGCTTGTTAAACATGGATTTTGTATGAAGTCTGCAAAAACAAAAATTGCAACTTTATTTGGGGGAAAAATGTTTTAACAATATAACAACTCTGAAATATGTTTGAAAGGCAATTAATACAGGACGTGAAATTTCAGTTCTAAAGCATTAGCCAGGTTAAGATGTTTGTTTGCTACTATTTTCACAAAAAATATAAATAATTTTCAAATTGTTAACAGAAGTAAAGAACTTTTGGGTCAACAAAATCGTAGAAAATCAAAAATTGAAAGATGTTAATTGCTAAAAGAAGCTAGTATTAGTTTTAAAGAAAGTTTAACTGTACTGTCTTTATCACATTTCATTAAAAGTTCAATATCAGAAAATTAAGACATAAGAAATGTTCCAATAGTTTAAACATCTATATTCGGATATTACTGATTTCGACGCTAAACTATTGCATATCAAATTCAGACCCAACATCAAACTCAGCTGGGGGTTGAAAACTCTATGGGGATTGGGAGCTCTGTACTTTGAAGTAATTATCGCAGCAGTTCAGAGTGGTAAATTGGAGACAAATTTATATTTTTGATGCTATTATTTCTAAATTATATGGAACAGAAAGCTATTTTTATTTAACATTGTATAAATTATTTCTTAAAATACAGCTTAATTAAAATTATTACTATGAAAGCTAGTTCAAAGATGTTTTGTGTGAAAAATTAAAAAACAAAGATTTAGAGCAAAAAAAAAAAAGTCAAACAATCAAAATAAAAAATTTGAAGGAGAGTGTTTGTAAAACATTTGAGAAGGTTACTGTGAGCCCAGTAACTTTATCAATTAGTATTCTTTGATTAATTAATGTTCAATGGGGTGATAAGTATCAAAAATAATAACATTCTTTGCTTTAAACTTTTAACAAGAGGATTTTATACATCATTACACAAAAAGATTCACAGGTTAGAAAAAATAGCATTTGAAAAATATTTAAATTATCTTAGAATAATGAAATATTATAACATTAATTCTTAAATAATATTAGTAAAAATCTTAGTAATGTAAGGAAAATATGTTTTATATAAAAAATAATACTAAATAAAAATTAATATAAATACGAAAGAATTCAATAGCAAAACTGACAATCGAAACTTGAGAGTTTCATTGAAAAATCTTATCACAGTACAAATAATAAGTGGAGAAATCCCTGATAAGCAATATTTAAAATTTCAAATAGTGACCGCTTGGTTTTAATCATTAGCACTCTATGGATTTAAAACTTTATTTGATTAGTTTTTATACATTTTGAGAAGTGTATGAGAGTTAATTTTTGGCAAGTAGTTTTGGTAACCATAAAACTAAAACAAAAAATTGAGAAATTGATACAAATAAATATTGAAAATCGAAATATATAAATAGTCAATAAATAATAATAATAATTAATAGTCAATAAATAATAATCAAATTTTTAGAAAAAGTTTATTTTGAAATAGACATTTTGAAGTAGGATTGATTTACTTTTGTGGAGAAAAAAATGGATAGAAGAAAATTGAATTAGCAGTCACAAAACTGTAATTTTATAATATATATATCCGACAGCTAAAAAATATTATTTACTTAAAGCAACTTTTATTTCGTAATCAATATATTTTCTTTATAAAAACATAGCATAGACAAGACTAAATTTTATTTAAAAAGATATAATAGGCTCTAGAATTCAGCACAAATTGCAATTTTCTTAAATATTTACTTATTCTTAAATACTGTACAAACTTATAAATGTATATATGTACTTATAATTATTATATATGCTTATGTATAATTGAAATCATTGGATAGCAGCATTTGAATTACACTCAATACTTTTATAGAAATTAAAATACCTTAGATCATCACGCTCCGTTAAAAGCTGTTCAATTATATCATTAGCTTCTTCATAATCCTAAAATTAAAAAGTATGCAATATAAATATGTAACTTAGCCATGTGCTTAATAATTTAAAAAATAAAGATTTTTTCTAACCTGCATTTCTTCGATTAAATGTTGTAGAGTTTGGAGCCAGCCAACATCATGGCGAAATTCTTCAGAATTCAATATCTGAATTTCTTTCTAACATAAAAAATATTTCAGGATAAATGTAAAATAACAATATTTAGAACAATTTCAAAATTATTTAGAACTTCAATAGGCTTGTTCAACTTCTATACAACTGATGTATGCAAATTCAGAACACATCCATATGATAGAAAATTTATTACTTCTGAATTTGTTGTTAGAAATTACTTTTAGCATATTACTTTAAATATAAAATGTTTAAAGGAATATTTTTATATCTTATTCTTCTAGAATATTTTCTCTCAACGCATAAAAATTTGAGTTAAATAAGAAATTTAGATTAAAGCGAAGCAACATGAATAGAGCTCAAATAACTATACAAAAGTGTGTGTTTCATTCGTGTTGTTTTGCTTTATTCTTATAGAGCACAAACTATATCCTTTTCTTATTTGAATAGAAATGTAGATGTTTTATTAATACATTTAAACAATTAATAAAATATCTCCAGCAAAATCTAATCTACAGTTATGTGAAAATTTCACAATGAAACAACAAATAAGGATGTAATTTTGAATACCAATAATAAAAAACATTTCGTTTGACAAGACAGCACTGCAAAGGTGAAAGCATGTCTTAGTTCCAAACCCCAATGATATAGGGCAGCACCACTATTCCTCAGGCCACTTTCTCAATGTAGACATAGATCTGAAGGAGAAGGAAATTTTTTCCAGATCCCTGCACCCTCAGTACTGCTCAACAAATGACCACAAGCCTTCCTATTCTACAGATTTTACAAGCAGGTATATCACATGTACTCAATGGTTCTTAGCAGACTTGAGGGTCGAACCCCAGTCTCTCTTCCAGAATCGTGCTAAACAACTGGGCTACCACAACCCAGAAAATACGTAAACAGGCAGTTGTATGCTTGGTAATGCTTAAAAGCTAGCTTTGCTTCTAGAACGAAATCGTTTAATGTGGTATTTACATGGTAAAAAAAGTAAATTAGTCTTACATTTAATTCATAGATGATAGCTCCTGTTCTCCAGCCATGATGAAGTGTTAGATCTGCGAGATCAGAATAAATTTGATCCCCAAAGTACAATACTGAATTACCATACCAGCCAGTCATCCGCTGTAATTCCTTTAAATTGCCCTAAATAAAAATGATTAACACTCAACATTAAAGAATACATAATAAAATGCCATAAAATATATTTGAACATTTTGTCAAAAAGAGGTAAAAAAAACTCATGTTCTCTTTCTGTGATAATTAATTTTATTACATATACTTAAAAAAAGACAAATGTTGAAAGAGCTTTGAAATAATTAGCAATCTTACCTCAATATAAACTTTTCCTTTTTCTAGAGATTGCACTCTTTCCCAGAGTTGACTATTGGAAGGTACATCGTAAATCCTAAAGGGTCTGTTAAATGATGCAAAATTAATAATACTTAACAAAATATGCTATAAATAAGATTAATAGTTAAGGAAATAAAAATTTCATAAGTAAGTTTTGTTGCAAAAACTTTTACACTAATGCAATATTTATTGAACTTAATATTTATTTACAAGTAGCCTAGATAATTTTCTAACTATGGGTGACTTCTGTCATGAAAATTTAGTAACTTTGATTCCAAATTCGAATACTTCTGTGGATTATTCACACAACTAATTTTTAAGAGGGGAAAACTTTGGCAACAAATCCAAAGGTCTGTAATAGGAATTAGTTTTTTAAAAGAGGTAATTAAGAGAAACATACTAAGAGGAATTTTCTTGCTAACAACCAATGTCACTCCTTCAAAAACATCCATGTAATACAGTACAGATAATAAATGATCCAAGTAATGGATCAGATTCATGATTAAATTAACAATGGCCTAAATCAAATGTCTTTTGAATGAACCAAAAGTCTTTTTGACTGACTAGTAGCAGGGCTTTTTATTACCCACCTTTAAACAATTTATTCATTTTATTAAAATCAAATTATTTCAAAATTTAAATATATTTAAAATGTACCACTTTATATATTTAAAATATTTATGAACAAAATATGAAAAATAATATGCTAGTAAATACATCAGAACATTTTAAGAGAAGAAACTTACATTATATTTTAATTAAATAATTCCTTTTTTTAGTAATAGTTAAACTAAAAAAACTCTTTTTTTTATTTACAAAACTATTAAAAATTCAGTTTTATATCAATCGATTTAACATATTATCAGTAATTATATCTATCAGTTCTTATATCAATTAAACTACTCTTTAGCATAACAAGAACTTAAATTACCTGTAGGAAAAATTGACTCACCTGGTTTGACCTGTAAAGAATCTAGGTTTTCTGGCCTGTACAACAATGACATCAAACAGGTCTGCCCACTTAGGACCTATCATGTACTTCATACCATTATCACTGTAAGATACCTTAGTTTTAAGTCTTGTCATGAGTACGTTAAAATAAATTCAAACCAAAAATAAATTTCTTAAGCTTACAAAATGTAAACATTTGTCATAAAATTAATTTGAAAAAAAATCTAATTAATTACAGATTAAAATCCAATTATAAATATAAATAGTAAATTGAATTTAAATAAATATAATAATCATAAAAAATATAAAGTGGGAATTTTTTTCTTTAACTAAAAAATTAACTGTTAATATCATTTATGTGAACCAATGGAAATCTGTATAAACAGATCTTTGATGAAAGTATATCTTAATACATGGGTAGTGGTTTTTCTTTTTAATTGTTGAAAATAGAAATGCTACTTTTTAGTTACAGGTAAGTAAGAGATAAACTTCAAAATATAATTGAGATTTCCCTCAGTATATTATTTATAATTGATGTATTATAATGATTGAAAGAGTACACGAACTCGATTCAATTTTTAAAAAGCATCTGAACAATATTAATCACATATAAATAACAGATGAATTGAAGGAAAACTTACACAAACTTGAATGGGCTGTTAGTAATCAAAAACATTTTCTTTCCAGCATCTCTCAACCTATACAAAAAGGATGGCATAGCAGGATGTTTCTCAAGGTACTGATCTAATTGAAAAATAGAGAAAGTAAGAGATTGAATTTAAAATATAACTCAACAATTAAGTAAAAGAAAGAGATACAAACATAAAAGAGCTATTAAAAATCAACATGATTAATTAATAGTCATAGTTAGTGTGTAAGAAACTTAATTAGCTAATAGCTCATTAAACACTTTGAAAGTATATTAAAATTTTCTAATTAACTAAAAGAAAGACATTTTTTAAAATTAGATTCATTTAAGTTAACTAGTATATTAAGTTTTCAATATAAAATATTAATTCATTGCCCTCCTCTTCTTTACAAGAAAATTAAAAATACCAGTATCTTACGTTTCATTTAGGAGCCAGCATTACAAAGAATAAACTTATGACAGAAAAATTATTTTGCTTTAATAACAAAGATTTAAAAAGCTATGAAGTCTACACTTAATAGTAAAATTGTCCAATATAGCAACCCTCCCATTATTCCGAAGATACAATGTTATTTAAACCTCTTAACACATTTGCCTTTGTCTGATACAAGCAAAAGTTAACGGCAAATTCGCACATGCCCGTGATGCACATGGGCAATCATGTATCTCGCATTATTTTATTTCTGATGCCCATCAGAGATCGATTCTAGTTAAAATGGATAGGCTAGATTAAAACTAATTTTCCTTAGATGGCACCACTAAGCAGAATTTTTCTTGCATAAAAAATCATAAATGTAAACAGTTAATCATAAATTAATTTTGACTAAGTGTTTTTGTAACTTGTTCTGAAAAAATTATCCTATAATGAGTGACTCTGACGATTCTTAATATACTAATTTGTCAGAAAGTTTCAGCCATGAAAGTGATGATCTCTTGAGTTAATTTGATTTTAATATTTTGAAAAATTCAAAATAAATCTGCAACCAAATTGCTTAAACTTTGCTTGTACAATAATTTGTTTCATAACTTTTACATCAAGCCCTGCTACTTAGCCAACCCCCCCCCCCAACGGAAATTGCAAAAAATAACCTACACTATACTTATATATTCATTTTCTGTAAAATTTTTTTAAAAAAAACTATTATTTTTCGCCAGTTTTTTCCGGAAAAAAAAACTTGTTCTTTAAGACAGTGTTCCCCAACCCCCAGTCAGTGGATCAAATGGTACCGAGCCACCCATTTCATTGAAATTGAATTTAAATTCCTAGGTTTACAGCCCAAATTAAAAATATTTGGGCTCCATTAAAATTTTATTTATTTAAAAGAAAATGGACCCCCGAAGGTAGTGACATAAATTTTTTAATGTTTAAAAAAAAAAAAAAAANAAAAAAAAAAAAAAAAAACAGAAAAAGAAAATTACTGCAACTATTTTCTTTTTTAATAATAAAAAAAAATCAATCATCATAACTGTAAATATCATAAATAAAACACAAAAGCGCGTCGCGAAATTTAGATTGGAACTAATGAAGAACTTCGTCTTCTCTCTTGATCGTGACTAATGGATTTAAGTTAGTTAAAATGTAGTTAAAATATTAGTAAGTTAAAATGTTATATCACTTTATATTTATTTCTTGATGTAACTGTAATTTATTCTGAAGGCATGTTTAAATACAATTAAATTAAAATTAATAAATCAAAATAATCTAAAATATTAACAATCAACGTCGTCGGGGCCCCAGCAGGCCGTGGTAAAATTATCTAATGTTGACAGGTCTGCGGTGATAAAAAAGTTGAGGAAAACTGCTCTAGGCTACTAAAAGCAACTATTTTGTTCATTTTTTTCTGTGGCAACCCTGCATTTTGACAACACAAAAAATGAAATCACATTCACTAAGAATCTTTTTCAAAGATCAAAATATTTTCTCCATGAATCTGAGATGATAATTGGGTTTACCAAATGGGCTATCCTGCCTAAACACCTCTGAGACGAATTGGATCACCGAGTTAAGGGGTTGTAACAACAGTCTAAAATTCATGAAGAAACTTTTTGTATTCGGTTGCAAACTTGAGGCGCAATTAGGCTATTATTGCTCGCATAGTAGGCCTCCACAAGCGATATAAGCTCAGGCAAGTTGCATTGTAATATTTCCAATGGCAAACAGCTGACAACAACAAGTTGTGTGTGCATTTATACATGTCCTGTGGCCAACCACAAAGTTAGAGGCTAACCATAAAACTGTTCAAAAGTTATGACGATATTTTTTATTTCGTATAGTTCAATAATTGTTACCTGTACATATATATATATAAAGAGCAAGTGAATATATAAAACAATTTTCCTAGGGAATTTTCGGCCCTCGAGCTATGGATGTTTAACAGTGCAAAGTTAAGTACAGAAATCATCTTTCAAATATAATAATCGTATTTAGTTTATAAAGGTTCCTTCTTCTAAAACTTTTTTAATGTTTGAAGTAAAAAAGATTTATTTATAATCTAATTTAAAATAATTCAATGACATAATACATAGTCAAAATGAGTGATAATTGATGACACTCAAAAGGTAGCATCTCATTTGTATTATTTATTGATTGACTGTAATATTTTTAGTTCAATATATACATCAAGAAATGGCTAAGTTTAAAAAACATGGAAATATAAATAAACCTTGAATTGTAACGATAAAACTTTAATAACTTCGTTAGCAAATCATGAGTGAAAGAGATTTGTTACAGTTTTTGAGAACGTTTATACTTAGTTAACACTGCAAAAAGTTTTTTTACTACATAGTTAAAAAAAATTGCATTGGTTACATTGAAATTAAGTATACAAGCATTCAGTTTGTTTTTGACAAGACCAAATGATTACAGCAGAAACTTTCCTCTCACTTAGCTCTTTTCTAAATGAAAGTTCAGTATACTGAACTTCTTATAAACTCAATCAGTCGAAGAAAAAAAAAGAAAAACGTTTTCTTAAAAGAAAACAGAATTGGCACAATGATTTTTAAGTTAAATTTTTTTAAAACATAGGCCAGGGTTCCCACTCAATTTCAGAAAAAAAATTATCTGACTTTTCTAGGTATACCAGGTAAATTTCAATGAAAATTGACACCATATTTTCATCAGAAAACTTTTATTTGTAATGAGAAATATTAGATTTTCTGTGCATAAAAATATAAATTAATGAGGATGGGAACATTTTAGCGAAATGTGAATTTTTTATGACAAATAATAGTAATAGATGTTAGAAATATTCAACTCAAATCTCAATAACTGATTACTGTTACTGACAATTTTAAGACTGGTCATTTTCCAGGTACAGTACAGAACCCGTTATCGGGAAATCAGAAAACCGGAACGAAATTCGATAAATTTTCTCGCCATTTAAAAAAAAAATTTTTTTTTCCCCATAAGATTTTACGATTTTTCTTTCTTTTTTTAAAGATGTTTACCTTACCATCATTTTGGAAATAATCATTAGTGTATTACTTCATCGTTTTTTCTTATTTTTAAGATTATTTCCAATTTTTTTTTAATTTTTAAAATTGGATTTAACAATAAAAAAACGGCTTTTTGTAGGGATTCAGAAAACCTGAAAAATCAGTTATCCGGAACAGCGATGGTCCCGACCGTTCCGGATAATCGGTTCCCTACTGTATAATATAGGGATATTCCAGGTTATTGTAAAGAAATTGCAACCCCCCGACAATTCCAGGTTTTCCCTGTTCGCCCTGACCAGTAGGAACCCTGATAGATGTGGTTCTCATGATCTTGCAAATGCATAGCATTTAAGTGCCAAAGATTGAAAACCTTTAGCATAGATTTACCTCCACTATAGTGCAATACTTTGAAGTCTAATAGATTAATAAAAAAAATCTTACATGCTTTCAATGTTTTCTGCAGAACTGGTTTCACCTTCATGTGTGGGTTCGTCTTTCTTTGTGATGTCTACTGGATGAAAAACATGACCAATAGGTGTAGATGCCCAATCTGTGCTAACTGGAATAAATATGAAAATATTAAGAAAACAAATAAATTCAATTAAACGATAAGAACAAGAAGTTGATTAACAAATTGAAAAGAAAGACTTACGAGGTGCTAAAGACCAGTGACCTTTTTTTCTGCAACTATTTGTATCCACCACTGAAACACATAAATTAAATATAGAAATAAAATTAATGAGAATTACATGAGAATAATTATATACGAGAAAATGTGAGGCTCAAAACGATATATATATATATTTGAATTAAATGCATTATATTATTAAATAAAATTACTGAGGATAATTATATAAAAATATGTGATGCCAAAAATGATTTTTCTTTCTTTTAAGAATACGGCCCTTTCTGTTTAAAGTATCTTTTTTCTAGTATTTAAAAGGACTTCAATAATTGTGGGCAAAATAGGAAAATGACACAAATCTGTAGTTAATTTGACAGCTTAAACACACAACTCCTGTATAACATAACTCTTTCTCTCACAGTTTTCAATTTTTTTTTTTTTTTTTTTTTTTTTAAGAATTTGGAGAGTTAAAAAATTTAACAATTTCAGGGAATTTGAGCAGAAATAAAATATTATTCATTTAATTAAATCAGTGGTAAAATTGTATTTAAGTTGAATATGTTAGATGGGTTTTTAATTTTTTTTTTTATAAACAGTTTACAAGTAGTTCTGAAATTTGGAAAATTGTTATGAAGATAGAAACACACTATTTGGAAACATGTAAAAAAATTTATTTGTTCATGTAAGATAAAAGAATAAAAATGTCATGTGTAAAAGAATAAAAATGTTATGTGAAATAAAAAAAATTTGCACATCACTTTGAAGAAGAAATTGATAATTTTGCATTATCAAAAACTTTATGCAAGATGTAAAGATTTGGTTATCATCAGGCAAAAATTAAAAAAATCTCTAAAGAGAAGGGGAAAAAAATGAGGCAGAGCAATGTTATAATAAGATAAGATTAATGTTTAGAAAATAAGATTAAGAAGTATAACATATAATAAAGGGGTAAAAAAATAAATAAAAATAGATTAAATCTAAACTGGCAATAAATCTAAACCAGCACAATAAGAAACATCCACATGACTAGTTAGGTTAATAATTTTAACAACTTTTCTTAAAATAAATTCTTAACATATTTTAGTGAGTAAAAAATTTCAGCTTAAGTATGGCAATTAAATTCTGCAATTTTGCCTTTAGTGAAATAAATGACTAAATACTGGGTAATAAATTTGGACAGCTTTTTCTTAATATATATATACTAGCTGACCTGGCAAATGTTATTTTGCCATATGAATTATATCTAGAGTGTGAAAATATATCTTATTTATTGTAAGTGTGTGCGTATGTGGTATATGAGTGAAGGAGGCATGGAGCGCTGTGAACGATGACAGAATGTGAAAATAACAACACACCAAATAATAGTTTTTTTTAATTTATTGTAACTTTCTTTTATAAATTATATATACAACGAATTCTGAAAATGTTAGTCAACAATATTAATCTCTTAGTGCAATGGAGTGTACAATATTTTTTGTCATTCCATCTTTAGCTGACACAAATAAACTGCATGGTTTGCCCACTCGAGAGAATGCCACATATAATTGTCCGTGTGAAAAACATGGTGTGCTCAAATCTAAGACACAAACAGACATTGTTTGGCCTTGTCATTGCAAATGCCAATCTAATGGGGAACTGAATGCGTTTAAATTGAATTGGCACACCTGTGGGTATAATAGGGATTCCTGGAAGTAATATACTTTCACCCCGGAATTCGTCATTTAAAATAATGACTTTGATAAAGTTTTTCCTTAATTTTTTAACGACTAATCGCGTGCCGTTGCACAACCGTGATGGGTTCAAATTACGAAGTAAAAAACCGGATATCCAACTTTGAGTACTAAATTATGCGGTGGTATGCCTGGTAAATCCAATGAGTTTAAAAACTCTGTTGGAAAATTTGCAACTTCAATGGGATCGAAAACTGCATCAACGGATTTACATGTCACCAAGTTACCTGGCAATAACTGTTGTATCTTCAGATTCAATTCGTTGACGTCCACATTTTTTGCTGTTAAAATTGCCCTTTCTGCCAGCCACTCATGATGAATGTATTGTGTGTGTACATCGAGAAATATTAGGTTAATGAGAGCATTTTGTGAATCAATGATTGTGCAGAAATCATCCGATAATTTTATGCATCCAGTCTCATCCTTAGTAACTTTTCCATCATCGATATCTAACAATTGTTTAGAGAATGTTTCAGCAGATGGATCTTGAAGCATTTGGACGCGCAATAATTTGTAATTGTTTTTTTATATCTTTCTATGTCCTGTTCAACACCTCAAGCAAATGTTTGTGTGCCATAGCGCATTCATCCTAGATGATAATTTTACAGTGTTTCAACACTGTAGTCATAGACGATTACTTTTTTACGTTGCACACTGCATTTGGGTTGCTTTATATATTTAGTGGCAGCTTAAATACTGAATGATCTGTTCTGCCTCCATCCAATAAAGTTCCCGCAATGCCAGATGATGCAACGGCCAACGCGATGCCATTATTTGATCGTATTTCAGAGAGAATAAGAGAAATAATAAATGTTTTGCCAGTTCCACCCAGGGTTCGTTGATTTAAATCAGCTTGATTTAAATCATGATTAAAATCAAATGATTTTTTTAAAAAAATCATTGATTTAAATCAACTGATTTTTATATATATATNTATTATTTTTTGCCAGTTTTTTCCGGAAAAAAAAACTTGTTCTTTAAGACAGTGTTCCCCAACCCCCAGTCAGTGGATCAAATGGTACCGAGCCACCCATTTCATTGAAACTGAATTTAAATTCCAAGGTTTATAGCCCAAATTAAAAATATTTGTGTTCTATTAAAATTTTATTTATTTAAAAGAAAATGGACCCCCGAAGGTAGTGACATTAATTTTTTAATGTTTTAAAAAGTAAAAAAAAAAAANCCCCCGAAGGTAGTGACATAAATTTTTTATTGTTTTAAAAAGTCAAAAAAAAAAAAACACCGCAACTATTTTCTCCTTCAATTAGTTTTAATAAAAAAAAAAATCACTCATCATAACTGTAAATACAATACACGAAAGTGCGGAGCGAAATTTACATTGGAACTAATGAAGAACTTCGTCTTCTCTCTCGATCATGACTCACTGATTTAACATTCTAAGTTAAAATGTTAAATTACTTCATATTTATTTTTTTGGTGTAACTGTATTTTATTTATTTATCTGTATTTAACATGCCTATGTTTAAATAAAATTAATAAACCAAAATAATCTGAAATATAAACAATCCACCCAGCGGGTCATGGTAAAATTATGAAACGTTGACAGGTCCGCAGTGATAAAAAGGTTGGGGACCAATGAACAATACATTAAAACATAGCAACCAAAATTTAGCCATATGATTTACAAAAAGTGTCGAAGAAAATATTTAAACTAATATTTTCTTTGACATTACCATAAAATAAAACACCTTGAATCTTTTTCGAATGTATGAAAAGGGAAAAAATCTCCTAAATTCTTATCCTAAGTCTTAGTTGGTCATAATTTCTGGTCATTTTATAGGAGTTTACTCATTTGCACAGGCTACTAGTCTGAACTAGAAAATTAACTCTCTTTCAACAATAAGATATGAAATGCAGCCAGATAAATTGAGTTGTCAAAATAATCTAGTTGTATATTGTTTGTCTTCAAGAAGAAAAAATTAAGTGCTGTAACTAATGTCAATTTTTATAATTTATACCACTTAATATGCTGATTATTAATTTTTAGCAATTCATTGGTTATATATAAATTTAAAAAAAGTTTACTAAAAAGCTACTGCGTACTGAAAAGGCATAAATAATTTTTCCATTTAAAAATCGAGGTTATGACAGAAATGGCAAAAAGGGTTGGGTGTTTCCTTATTGTTACAATGCTTTCAACAGATCACATAGATAAGGTTCTATTTTTACCTTTAAATATTTTATTAAAATACCATTTGATCCTCTTTATTTAAATTACTTGACTATTTACTAGAAAAAGAATGTTTTATATGTTAAAGAATGTTTTAATGTTTTATATAAAAAAAAAAGCTTATTTTAAAAAGTAATAATTACAAGATAGAAAAGAGCCACATTTTTGTGTTTAATAGTGTATCGCTAGTGTTGAATAGTGTAATTTTGCAACATGAATTATATTTTGTAATTAAATGCATTATTTAAACATTAGAACAACTTTAGTTACATTTATTATGCGTCATTGCTTTAATAAAAATTATGTTTCCTCTTTTAAATTGTAGTTCCAATGAATGAAGAAATTCAAGTTAGCCTTCCTTGAAAATATTTTTTTAGAACATGCAATTATATGAACTCCAAAGTAACATTTGTTTGCTTTGAAAGGAATATACCTGAAAAAGAATTGAAAGAAGGTTAACTACAGTTTGAGGATGTTCAAGGATTATCTTATTATCTTCTATTTCTCTATATAAACATCTGTGTGAATTTCAGTAAATCGCATGTGATATTTTTTAATTAAGAAATTACAACAGATATATTTCTTTTCTTTTTATATATAGTAAAACACAGTTTACATAAACCTTAATAGTATATAAAAATTAATTTTGTTTAGAACTTTGACTAATGATTAATGATTTTTGTAAATATTTAATTGATAACACAAAATTTTTAACATAGATATTCTCAACATTTTTAAACATATTCTTACACATTAGAAATTGTTTCAATACGAAAATTTATTTTAATACCTACACTCATAAATTTCTGTATTATTAATAATAATGAATAATAATAAAAGTTATTATTTTTAAAAAAAAAAATGTATTAATGGGAGAAATATTGGCACAAACTTCCACACACTAGCCTAGTGTAGATTGGGAGAGGCCCTTTCATGTTTGTTTACCATATAACAGATATGGTAACACTATGAGAAAGATTATACTGGGCATTAAAGCCCTACTCCAAGATGATTCATTTAAGTCCCACAGTGATAATTAAAGGATCTATCTTTTGGTAACAAGTCAACCAATTAGACCATCTTTTATTTGCATAAATAAAATAAAATGTAAATAATAATTTTTTATTTATGTTTTTATAAAGAAATAACAGCCTCAAAAAAATTTTTTTTAATGAAAATATTTTTTAAAAAAATAAATAAGCAATTACAATTTTTCTGTTGACTAGCTTTCAGTAACATGGAATGGTTATTAAATATAATAGAAAAACTGTTCATTTGTAGTAATGCAAATTAATAATTACTTTTCTTTAATATGTGGTATTAAATTAACTGAGCAAAGTTAGTAAAAATTTGATGCTTTAAAATCTGATTGAGCAATACAAATTATTTTCAGTGCTTCATTACATAGTCTGATACATTTTTAAAAGTTTTGCTCCATATTTAAATACAGAGGATAAACTAAAGAAATATAATGCTAGACTATAATAATTTGAATAGTGACACGACCCACCCTATTTGTTTAGGGTTTACGTCAAGATTACATCAAGATCATACAACTGGATTGATACATGATTACAACTTCAATCGAAGATCGCTACAAGGGACAATGATACAAAATGCGGTCAAACAAACAAATTATATAAAATAGGTCAAAGGACCCTTATAGTGTTTGCTGATTATAGGGTAGGAGGTCCAAGGACCCTTATATCTACCACTCCACATCCACACATTATATAACATGGCAGATAAAAACAAGAAATAATACAGCCCATAATAATGTTATTTCAGAGAGGTAAAGCTATTTTCCTTTTGAAACAGTATTATTTTTCTACAGTAATAAGAAAATGCAAAATAAAAAAGTTTGTATTCCATAAATTACATTCTTATAAATTTCTTTCTTTTAAGTTATATTCTTATAAACTAATCTTGTTGTTAACTCTTATAGTAAACAATAAGATGAGTTAGTAAACAAAGTAAACTTTGTTAGTAAACAAATGAATGAGTTCTTGTATGAAAAAAATACTAATTATCTAAATTGTCAGAGTTATTAAAAATAATGAGTCTATTCATTTGGGGAAAATAAACTTAGTTGCAAACCAACTAAAAGAGTTATTGTGAAAAAAAAAATTAGTTTCTTACTAAATTGTAAATATATTTAGAAAAAATTATTGATCATAGCTTAAAAATGAAAAGAAACAGAAAATTTACAAAAATAAAAATTAAACTTTGGTAGAGTTTACAAACGTTTTACAAAATTCTATTTAAAAACCTAAATCCTCACAGAAATTAAAAAAATAATTGCAGCAGTTGGCATTCACGCAAATGAGCATGATATCAAAATATTCTATGAAAGCAATAAAAAACAAATAAGAGCCTGCATATGATTTTTAAACATACTGAACTTATATAACATACTAACCAATAGTAGTTTCATCCAACATCTTGTGCATTACTGGGTGTATGCTCTGAACTGCATTCTAAAATATGAATAAATTATAATCTATTAGCATTTTAACAGAATAGTATGCTGAAAGTAGCAGAAATTGCAAGAAAGAGAAAAATGTAATAAGAAAAATAAATTGTTTATGAACAATACCAGGAAAATCAATTCAATCAGAAAAAAGAGGTATGTATTAATCTAGTATTTTAGCTTGAGCAAAAAATTTAAGGCCAACATAAAAAATAGAACTTAAAATAGACATAAATTTAGAAACTCCTGTAAGAGCTATTTTTTCGAATTATTTTTAATGTTCTAGTTTTTGACAAAGTTCAGGCTCTGTGTTATACCATTTGTCTCCAATACTAGATTTCAACTCTATTGATAAAAATGCCTGTCATTTGCAGAAACTCCTAAAGCACACTCCAAAAATCCCAGAAATTAACCACTGATACTACCACTTTTTTTTGTTGAAAAAGTAACCCTCCTTTTAAATAACTGCTAGGCACATATAGGTAAAACAATGCATGCAAGACAAAAAGAAAGCTCTGTAAAAGATATTAAAAGGAAAAGTTTCCATGTTATTATTCTTATATATTGGGAAAATTGACATGAAAATTTCCATATTTCCATCCATATTGCCAGCTGATGTCAGATTTTTACCCAATATAATGTTGTTGAACTTCTTAAACAAAATTGTATAATAAAATTTCACATTTTAGCAGTAAATTTGCTTACTTTGATTCTTTAGTGAAAATAATTTTATTATAACTTCACTTAAGTCAGTGATTGAACAAAGCACTATTCTCAAATTAACATAAAAACAAAGTGTAGCTGGCTAGTTGGTATTTGAAAAGGAGATAGTATTATAAATAGAGGGAGTTAATGTATACAAACTTTTGTGCTCCAATAGCAAGTCATGTTTCTTTGCAAAAACTTACAAATATTAGATAACCTTCATTTAATGATATTCAAGTGATTGAAGCAAGCTCTAAATATATTTTTCAATTTTGCTGATACTTTGTAATCTTGATTTTTTTTTAGACAATTTATTACTTTTTTGGATCACACTAATATATATAGATATACCAACAATATCTAAACTTATATATATATATATATATTTCAAATTATCAAAATTTTTACAATCAAGAATATTTAAAAAAAAAAAGTTTTATAAACTTTAATTATGTGCTTCCTAACAGGGTCCAAAATTTTATCATTTAACATGTTTAAAATACTTAAAAATTCTGATTAAGCATGTATTTTTTACACTTACATATCCAGGAGGGCACGTAAATATATTCTTAAAATATCAATTAAATTAAGTGTCTAATTAAATTTTGGTAATAACTACATAAAAAGTTAGATTTTATTGTTTTAATCTGCAAATCATTTTTATTTTATCAAACATCTTTTACTCCAACCATTGGCAATAAAAAATAATAATTATGAAATTTTAAATAGAAATGTTAAAGCAAAAAGACAGAGTGGGGGTGTTGTAAAACTTTTAATTTAATATCACTATATGTTTAATAAAATTTGACTAAGACAGAATCAGGTGAACTTTTTTTACATGCACAATTTGTATAAAATTCGTATCTGCTAAAAATATTTGTATTTTGCCTTTTTTTTTTGTAACCTTTTCTGGTAATTTAGGATTTCAATGCGTTTCTTTACATAGTTTAATTATATGTTTTCATTAATAAATATTCGAAAAAAGTATTTGGGCAAATAAAAGTTTTATTAGGGCATATATTTTTTATGACTAACATGCCTGGCATGTCAAATAAAAATGTAGTGCCCCGCTAAAATTTGATGTATTTCAAATATTATATCATTTATAACAATTATTGTAAAGAATTTTTTTTCATAAAAATATCAATATCTACATATTTTAAAGATTTTTTTAAAAATCACAGATGTTTTATGCTTTTTATTAACGAGATTTCACAAGAATAGTAGGTTAAATCCTTTAGCAGATCTGAATACACCACTTACCTGAATGTCGTAGGACAAAATTTCTGGATGGTAAGCTATACCATTTTTTTCAAAGTACTCTGTTACGTTTGATATGAGACAAATCTCGGGAACAGAAAACAAGTCATTTAACTGCTTCATTCTTGTACTCTAAAATATATAAATAAATATTATAATGACACTTAGGAAAAAAAACTTATTTAGGTTACAGTAGAGTAAATAATGCACATTGAGGTATACAATCAAACTTGTCTATTCCAATCAAAATAACAAAATTTTGGGTACAAATCAGGCAACTTTTTAATAAATGATTGATTAAATGCTAAAAACTTTTTCTGATTTAAATTTTTTTATAAAGCTTTTTAAGTTCATTACACTGCTCATTAATATTGAAAACAATTATTTTGTTTACATGAATATTTAGTTCTTGAACCTCACCTCAGAAGAAGAACCTCTAATCAATTCTTGAGGAATATATGACCCTTTATAAACGGATATTACTTCTTCCTTACTTAAAGGAGTCATTCCTCTGAAGAAGAAAAAAAGTATGTTAATATAATGCACAAAATTATCTAGAATTTATACATTAAAAATATAAAAATCTTATTGAATATGAAATAATTACAGAAAAAATCAAGTACTAGAGAATTTTCTTAATAAAAATCTGCTGATAAAACAAAGTTTTAACTCAAGATAAAAACAAAATAAGCATAGATTTAACAAATAAGAATAGATCAAAAATATTAAAATGCGACAAAAAATAGGATACAAATATAACTTATGCACCAACTTCCTTTAATTATGAAACTGATTTTGAAACATCAGTTAGAATACACACGACTGAAATAATTGTACAATGATATATTATAGAACTAGCTATCTGCAGTGACATGCTTATTCCCCCACAAAAACTCACTGCTTAAACAAAGATGATAAAATAAAATTATTTACTCAAAATAAAAATAATATTGTAAAAAGAACAAATTAAAAATATTACAATTTGGTATCAATATAGAATACAAATTTAATAATTTAGTCAAATATTCCTTGATATTGTATAATTGATTTTGAAATACACAAATAAAATAAATCCAAATACTATAGAACTATACTATAGATATACTATAACCCATAGTTCCAGTGCCTTTCATCTGAAAAAATTAACCCCTCTAGCAGTTCCATGTTGGTCCTGCTATATTCAGCATTGCCCTGAATCTAGTGCATAGGTATTTTATATGTGCTCAGAAGGCTGAAATCATTCAAGAACTCATCCGCAATGGTCAGTTAGGCAACCTAAACAAACTTGCTACTTCAAAATTTCATGTAATCATCAATCTATGAAATAAACACTTTATATTTCCTAATCAGATCATAACGAACAGGACATAACGATCATAACGAAGAATAAAACTTTACAATATTAACAAGTAAATTTCAAAAACAAACTTATAGAGAAAGAGTAAAGAATAGAAAAGTAAAAATTTTCATTTACATTTATTATTATTCAGAAAGCAAAAATTTATTAATATTTTAACAAATTACTGGAATGCTTATGATTAAATCAAACTCTGAAAAAAGCAAAACTAGTTCAGCAACTTAATATTAAACCTGGCTTAAAAATAATTTTTTCCATTTCTTTTTTTTCCTTTCATATTTTTATTAATATTTAACATAGTTCAGGGGACAACTTCAGTATGGACAATTGAAAGTGATTAGAAGGTAAAGGCAAAAGAATGATAGAATGTGCATATCTGAATTTACTATTAATAACAAAACAGAAATATATTTAATTAATGACATTTAAAAAGGATTTGATATAAAAAAAAGAAAATAAATTTCCATTTAATTGGGGAGAAAACTAGTTGAAGAAACTTAATTAATAAAAATCTCATTACCCCATTAAGAAAAATAAAAGAAAATAATTTCAATTATAGTCTTCTGGCATTTCTTGGTGTCATGATATCAAGAAAGGAACAAAATTAAAGATGCTCCTCTGTTCCATGGCGTCATGGGAGTAAAAATGGCTCTTCAAAGCTAAGTGATGATTGCTTTTGGGAAGTAAAATAATTCATTTTCCTTAAACTTAAAAAAATGTAGAAAATTACATTCAAATAATTTTAGATGTTTCCATTTTAAATCAGAGACTAGAAACATTCAGAGAAGAAGAAAAAAATTTCTTGACTTTTTCCGACTGATTTTATGTAAAGTTTCTTAGTTATGTATTTCTCTTAGAATTAAAACATAATTCAGAACATTTAAACTTGTAATAAAAGTTGAAAAAAAAATTTTTGTTTAGAAGAATATTATAATAAGACCAAGTTATTTGGAAAAAATATTGGATATTTTCGGTCAGGGCAAGATTTTGTCAATTAGCAAGTATCAAATTGTTAGTTTAAAAAATCAAATGATAGCTGCAGAAAAATGCTGCAGCAAAAATTATAATAATAATGATAAAATATAGTTTATTAGAAACATTCATTAAAAAATGCCTGTAAAAAGTTAATTCAAAAGAAAAAACAATTGTTCTTAGTTCCTAAAACAAAACTTTAACACTGAAAATAAAATTTTTTCTATGTTACAGGTTATTTATATTACAGTACAGGGAAAAAATGACAATAAATAAATAGTATGAGATGTTTCATCAAAAAGCTGTGTTTTAAACAGTAATTGAAAAAAAAAAAAAAAAACTTTTCAATTCATATAAGTGTTGAAAAAATGACGAAATTGACTTATCTGAAGATTTTTTTTCCTTAAAAGAAAAGAAGTACAAAAACTCTACCTTTTCAGTAAAATATGAATT